TTGTGGCTGGCAGAAACCGTCTGGAGAATGATGGGGCCACTGCCCTGGCTGAAGCCTTTGGGGTAAGTACTATGCCAGAACTTCTCGACAGCAAATTGGAGCAAGGTGTGCTTAAGTGTTAATGTTAAAGATAATGCACGCAGAGCCTGCCTCAGCTTGGAGGCAGGGGCTGGTTGTTGATTCACTAAAGTCATGATGTTGTTTGCTGCTGAAACTGGAGTCTTCAACAAGTGCAATTAGAATTGATGACTGAATGTTTCTGTGACCCAAGTTTCCAAACGCATAATTAGTGGCTGTGTAAAGTAGTTACCTGAGGGAGAAACAGTCGTCTCCTGAGTAATTTAATAGTAGTCCTGTTCCTTCTCCTCCCTCTGTGCTAATGGAGGTTATCTGGCACTGATGTAGATGTACCAGCTGATCTCTTGGGTGGTGTTTTGCCTACTTGTTCAGTCATCTGGCAAAAACAACCTAGTGTTTTCACTAGGATCATCCTGTGAGGGCTCTAAATGCTGCTTAGCTTTCTCTAGCTGTCACTGACCAAATAGCACTTTTGTTGGAGGAAGAGAATTCATTGTTGTTGGAGCCACCTAATTCCCTTTTTTCTCCGTTGTTGCTGAAAGTGACTTCTGAATTATAATGTATATTGTCGGGTATATTTACAATGATATTGCAGGTTATAGGTTATTTTTTTTGTAAAGAGCCGTCTGGATGTGATTTTTGACTAATCGGTAATGATGGCAAAAATAAAGCTTCTTAAATACTTGAGAGGTGCATAATAAAGTGATTCATGAGGAGTTGGGACTGAATGGCACTACCAAAATGGGATTCATTACTGTGTTTTGTGACATGCTGTGTAGTCCATAAACAGCCTTCATACTAATTTTCTTACGGATTTGCTTCTGCAGTCAGGGCAAAATGTAGCTCTTAGTTAGAAAAATATGATATCCAGTGATGTTGCTTGGTCTGTTTCAGTGTTGTTGTATGACAGGTGAAGAACTCTTCTGTTAAGGTACCTAGAGCTAGAAGGCTGCTACTTGTGACTCTTAGAATTAGGGCTTTGTGTTAATCTGACACTTGCCATGAGCCTGCAATTTCACTTAGATTTGTATGTAATTGCTGGTAAATAATTCTATGTGGAAGAACTAATGGAGTTTTGGGTTGGAGGAAAATAATTTTAAGCAAATCCTGAAGAGTGGGGCGCTATGCTCTTGGGTTGAAGTGTGTCTCCTAACAGCTTTTTTTCATCTGCATCCTTTCCTAGATTATTGGGACTCTAGAAGAGGTCCATATGCCACAGAACGGGATTAACCATCCTGGCATCACGGCACTGGCCCAGGCCTTTGCTATAAACCCACTGCTTAAGGTTATAAACTTGAATGACAACACCTTCACAGAGAAAGGGGCTGTGGCCATGGCAGAGGTGAGTTGTTCTAAGCAGTTGCTTTGGATTTCTCTTCTGCTTCCCAGTCTCCTCAAATATAGTTAGCATTAGCACCTCCGGGGTGGTGGAGCCACATGTCACCTGCGGTGAGAAAGATGACCTTCCAGGAGTGATAGGGCATTGATTTACTTGCATGTCTGTGCCTTCAAATTTGTGCTGTCTTGCAGACTCTGAGGGCGCTTCGGCAGATTGAAGTGATCAACTTTGGAGACTGCCTGGTGCGTTCGAAGGGCGCTGTTGCTATTGCTGATGCTGTTAAAGAAGGGCTTCATAAATTAAAGGTATTGTCATCTTGCTGTTCAGTTTTGAAAATGCCTAGTTTCCTATTTTCTGGGTTTTTTTCTCTCCGTTCTCTGACTGATTATTTTAAAGTGGGATTCACTTCAGGGCAGGCTTTGTGCTCCCAACTCAGAAGCAATAAGCTGTATTGTAGATCAGTGGCATCACCACATCCAGCTGAGACTATTCCATGTGGAGGTGTACCAGTGATCTGTTTAGACTCTGCCTGATGTTTTTGGAGCTGTTGGGTCAACTCCGCAACTGCTATTCAAGAAATCTGATAATGGAAGTATATGATTTTTAGAACCTCTCAGAGGGTCATGAGCGAGGACTGAGACTTTCTTCTTCATGAACAGCTTGTAATCTCTTCAGCATTTCGGAGTTCATACAGTTAACGCTTCTTCTCTGTTAGGACGTGTATCAAAGGTCCAAGTATTTTTAGGTTTTTAGCAATACCACAGCCTTCTCTATTTGCACAGGGCTTGCATTTGACAACATTCTAGATAGGCCTAAGTCCAGTTAGTAATGAAAATAGACTGGGATCTCAAGAAACACCTGCTATAGATCATGACTGCACTGGGACAGATGTTGTGCATGTAATTTCTAATCTTGCAAGCTTACAGTTAAAGACAAATTCAGCTTAGGGCTAATAATTATTTACGTGTATGAACCTGGTACAGAAAGAAGTAGCTGCTTTGAGGTGTGAGATCCCTTGCTCAGGCTTCTGCTGGTTCTACTGGAACTTAGGCCTGAATCTCCTAGGAAGACTTAAGTAAGGATTCTAGTGGGGGTATTGAGATGAACAGCCAGAAGTCAAATCCTTTTTTCTAGGGCAGAAGTGGTTAAGGGAGGGTAGCGTGAAGCAATTGTAGCTGATTCCTTCTGTTCAAGGACTGCTTCCCTTTTGCTGTTAATATTAAACCTCTTCTCAGGAAAGGATTGATTGAGCACAATGTGGAATGGTGGGGGATGGTGCCTGGCTGTTGAATAACTTTACTCTTACTAGTCTGTCCACACTGTTTCTCTGCTGGCTGTGTTTCAGAAGTAGTAGCACTCACGGTTTGTCTTTTGAAGGCCTTAACTTGCAACCAAAGTGTTCAAAAGCAAATGTGCTGTTCAAAAGCAAATGTGCTGACCATTTAGTACAGCAGCTACCCTTATCCAGTCAGACTTTACTGGTGTGTGAATTCTGGAACGCTTTTGTGACACTTGAGTAAGTGAAGATCTCCAGTCAGCTGATCGCTAAGGACGGAAATGTCTGCTGCCTTTTAGGTGAGCAGTCAGAATGGTCTGGTCTCTGTGTCTGTTTGAGAGTGGTTACCTTCAATAGTGCTGCTCTTAACAATAGTATGTTTCAAGTACCCTTTTTAGGTATATGAAACAGGAGTATGTGTCAGGTTTTATTTCCAATTAAAAATACTTTTTTTTTTTTTTGCTAAGAGCCTTTTCAGAGACCGCACTTGTGAGCACTTGGGGATGACAGATATTAATACGAATTCTGCAAACAAATGTTAATCTGCTTCTTAGGAACTGAATTTGTCCTTCTGTGAGATCAAACGAGATGCTGCTTTGACTGTTGCTGAAGCTATTGAAGATAAGGCAGAGCTAGAGAAGTTGGATCTCAATGGTATGTAAGTTTGCTAGATCAAAGTAGTCCCAACAAGAAGTCACTAGGAAGAATGTCTTGCAATTGTCAGCATTTTAAAAATGGCACTCTGAGAGCAACTGAACTTGGATGACCTCAGGATAGGAAGCAGCTAGATCCTGGAAGTTTTCTTAAGCCATGAACTCAGTTAATGGTTAAGGCTAAGCAGTTTCTGTACATTTCATGAGGTGGAAAGTTTAAACTGATACCTATACCTGTTTCAGTAAAACTCTTAAAATTGTTCGTTGTGATCTCTGATATTTCATACTTGCAAACAAAAAATCTCTGTGTGCGTCTCTGCAGAAGAGTGGGAGAACTTTGACCACTGTTGGCTTTTGCTGTTCATACCTTGAATCACTGCATTTCAGTGGTACTGTGCTGTGTGTTCTTGTTTTAGAATCACTGAGAACAGGAGCTGTTTGTAGAACTAGCAGGAAGTCTCTCAAAGACACTCTGCAAAATTATGGGGTTTGTTTCTTTCCAACCATTGTGCCATGCTGCTGAAATTTGTTTAACAACTGTTTGATTCTGACAAATGAAGTCTGCATTGCTGCTTGTAAGGTGTTGTGTAGAAATGACTGATAACTGTTCAATTTCAGAAATAAGAGATGGACAAGAATACAGCTAAATCCTCAAGAGCAAACTTGTGTTCATCTGTTAAGTCCACTGCCTTTCTTCTAACAACCTAGGTAACTGTCTGGGAGAAGAGGGATGTGAGCAACTCCAAGAGATCCTTGAAGGCTTCAATATGGCAGCTGTGCTGGGATCTTTGAGGTAGGCAGGGTACCAGAGCTTAAATCAGAAATCTTCTCACAATTTTCATCAACACTTCCATTCTTGAATAAAATAATGAAAATCATAAAATCTTGAAAAAATGTTTTGAGTTCCAGTATACAGGCATTGCCAGTGTTTAATTAATGTAATATGTAACTCTCAAATCTTAGCGATGATGAAGGGGAGGAGGAGGATGATGAAGAGGAGGAGGAGGATGAAGAGGAAGAGGAGGAAGAGGAGGAGGAAGAACAGCAACAGCTGAAGGAGAGAGGACAAGGAGAACAGGAGTCACTGACTCCTAAGAAGATAATTGATTCACAAGTAAGCTTACTTCCAGATCTGTTCCTGTTTCCTCAGCTGGGGGAGAGTCAAGGAGGAAACGAGATCTGGAGTGAGTCTGGACTTGGCGTGCTGGCAAGCGTTCCCGCTCCTGCGCGGGCTGGCAGTGTAGTAACAGTCAGGGAGAGAACATGCAGGAAATAAAGAAAATGGATGACTTGGAAACGGGTTTTATTAAAGCGTGGGTGTGCACACATGCGTGGGGGGAAGGGCTGAGTAGTGCTTGTAACAAACACAGGTAGAAAAAGTCTTCCCGTGTCCAGAAAGTGGTGGGAACCTTGTACATGCAATGCCATGCAGCCATGCTCGCATATTCTGGCTCTTCCAACTCTGGGCTCATTCCAGCCTCCAATAGTTTTCAAATAGTACCAATCCTGACCTGATGTACATGTGTCCTGACCTGTCCTATAAGCTTTTGCTGCT